GCTGAATTTAGTGTTGACTCATACAATTTGTTTTCTATGGTTGGTGATATTATGGCTATTTGCCTGGGAAATTAGGTAACTAGCTTATGATTGGTTCATACTTGTAATGAAAAACTGGGCCTGTGCCAAAAAACATGCCCTGGCTAACAATAATACAAACATGTGCCAAACTGCAAAACCCTCCCTTTAAAATAGAACTATATAAAGTTAAGTTAATTTGAAAGCTTTTTTTTTGTATGCCCCACTGAACCATTTTAATGTTTACTTCTTATTAATTACTTGTACTGAAGAGAATGCCGTGCTTAGTTTTCTTAGTTATTTATCAGTCACTGCATGCTACATGTACTAATAGTGATCACAATTTTTTCTGCTATTAAATTGGTTTTTGACGACCATGATTGTATTACGTTGTTTTAAGCATGTACGAGGTTGACTCAATGTGCAAGAATGTGAAATATTTGGCAGACAAATTACAAGAGGTCAGAGCTTGTCAAGGTAACCAAAGCCAGGTATGTTACATGGCCACAATGAGAATAATAATAATTATTGTAATATTTATTTATAATTAAAGAATTAAAAACAAAAATTAAATACTAATGGGGCCAAGCATTAAAACTTGAGAGTCAAATAATTACTGTATAATGAAATTTACAGTTGTAACATAACAAGATTAAACATCCAAACTGGCTGGAGGTGAACCAGTTCTGATCAGTGGTTACAAACATACAGTTGTGGCATAGGAAGTGAACTTAAGTTTACCATAAAAAGAACTCTAGCTACAGTTAGTGGTGGTTAGAACGGGACTTGAACCCTCCAATTCTGGCACCCTGACCACTCGGCAAGGCTGCCTTGTCCAAATCAGGACCATAATTTACCTAATATTATGTTCACCATTATATAGATGATAAAATTTGTGTTCAAGTAACATTAGCACTATGCACTGCACTAGTTGTTATACAATGTATCTTGGAAAGTTGGATAGATAGATGGATAGATAGATGGATAGATAGATGGATAGATAGANTTAAGAGCAGAGCTCAGTCTAATGAGAAAGAGTCGAATAACAAATTAAAGTGGCAAATAACAAAATGTCTAAGAACAAAGTGGAGTCTTACACCATGTAACTGATTCTGTTGGTTAGTGTGTCACTTAAAGTCGCTGAAAACTCCTTCCTTAAGCTTGGAATATTATAACATATTTGTACTTCTGAGTTGCCACAATATTACAAATTACTTGTCGTATTACTTAAGTCCAAAGTAAAGCTCAAGGTAATAATTTTACATGATATAATGTACATGCTGATTACTTTCATCCAACAAAGTGGAGAGTTTCTTCAACATACCCCAGTATGTCCTTTCAAGAAAAACATGATAATTTATTATTTTCAGCCAGGCTGAACTAGTTAGTAACTATTAATCTTGAGCTTTGTGAAAATATAGTTTATCAGACTTGGAGGCTACTAGAGATGAACTACTGTTTGAAGTTCACAAGATGGCACGGGAAGAGGAAGGCCCCAAACTGGACAAAACAGTTACGTAGTTTATCATTTGTCTCATCACAGATCTATCAAGTTCAAATTATTATTGAGCTTTGTCTCTGGTTGTCTGATGGCTGGATAATGTTATCCATTGGATGAATTGCTATCCAGCGGATAAGTATTACTCAAACTGCACTAACCACTGGATAGTGATTTATCCAGTGGATAGCGTTATCCGCCTGTCGAAAAACCGAGGCATGATCTACATTCAAAATACTTACTAAATAAATAAAAAAATTTGTTTATTAATAGACCTGTTTTTCTCTTTTCTAGCCATTGTACCAATACTTCGAGCCAGTCAAGAAATTATCAGTGAGTTACTGACATCTCAATAAATAATAATCATTATGATAAAATTAATGTTAATTACTCAGTTTATTGTAATTAACAAACTACTTGGCAGGAATTTTTTTTTCAAGTATAACTATAATTTTTTATACAAGTACATAATTATGTTACTTTGTACTCTTACTTCTTTGTATTTGTTTTGGCTGGGACATTAAATTTTAATTTGTGACCAGGTATGTTACAATCTTTGATATTTAAAATATTGACTTGTAGCTTGAACTGCAGACGAGTGTACTCTGTGCAGTGTATTAAAAACAAATGTTTCAATTTATATACGTGATCATTGTAGAGTGGTCACTTCTCTGCCTTAACAGATTCTTTGTCCTACAGGACTCCCTTGGTAAACAGTGTTGGGTGGTGTTAGGGCGAGTGCTCAGTACAGTGCGTAGCGACCCCGCCCAGCTGGTGACGGCTCTCAGAATAGTTGAAAGGGAGACCAGGTGTGTTTGGAAAGATGTTTACTTTAGTTAATTTCTTGTTTTAAGCTATTATTTACAACTATATTTATTTACTATTTTGTTTCTGTAGGTTATTTTAAAACTAGTAAGGTATTTAAAGGTACCAGTTGTACAAATTGTATTATACACAGCGACATTGCGCCATATTGGATCACAATTGAAAATTTGAAATATCAGTTGCCAGTAACTGTCAGTTTTATATAAACATTTTACATGCATATGGTTACATGTACTGTACACTGTGGGAGTTCAAACAATGACCTGAAGGTTAATGCACTGATAAATTATGAAACACAGATGAGTACATATAAAATAAATACCACTACCGGTCAGCTGTTAAGGGATAAGAATTCCAGGAAGCACAAGTCATGTAAACTGCAATTACTGGACTAGTGTCCCATGGAGTCGTGGAGTAGATAAGGTCGGATGTAGCAGTATTTCAAATCACTTCAATTTATGTTGCAACCAGGATGGGCTCCACAGTTTCCATGGTTTACGAAAGTGTGACTTAAACTCTATATAATATGTAGTCATGTGATTATTAAGGGTGTCTTGCTCAAGTGTCTCATGATCAAACTGTACAATACACTGACTATTAGTCCATGAACACCCTTATTGTAAGCGGCTCCTTTTGCCAATTTGGATTATACTTTTCTTGTCTATATATATTTCCTTGCTAACAAAAAAGGACACGATGGTTAAGTGAAATTGTTAGGTGTAACATTTTCGCATGATAGTGAAGGCAAGTTCGTTTTGGCACACCTTTTAAACTGTCTCCTGATTGTGCTGTTGCAGAGCTGACAAAAGGGCACAGGAAAAAGAGGAAAGCATGGGATTTTCTGTTCCAGGGCGACCCAAGAAGTGGAAAGAAAGGACATTCAAAGTTCTTGAGGAGTCAGTCAGTAACAGGTAATATGAAGTTCATGAAAGTTCTTCAAACTTCCTAGACCCTAATACTGTAACGGTATTTGGACAACTCAGTTAACATAAATATTTTCTGATTTTGTTTCTTCTTTTTTCTCTTGAGTTGTAGTTTCGATTGAGATCTATCAAACAATCAAGACAGTGTCTGACCATAATTTTCCAAACATCTCAAAGTTTTTAACCACTCGATAGAAACAGGGTACATGTTTTCTATTTCTTAAGGAATTGTTATATTTTGTGCGTTGATTTTCAGGTTTGAGAGTCTTGACATGGAACTACAGAACAGACTCGATGACAAAATGTGGCTGGTGAAACATCTTGAACGTACAAGACTGTTGGTTCTCGATGACTTGATTGTTGTCAAGGTATCGCTAAGTAATAATATTATTTGAATGGTGACAATCTTTGGGATCATGAAAAGCTAAACATTGACAGCTACATACAGATCACTGTGTTTTAAATCCTTTTGTCATTCTAGAACCTGTGCCAGGCTTGTTTTCCTCCAAATTACGACATATTTGATCGCTACGTCAAGATGTACCACAAGGCTTTATCAGTTATGGTAAGAAGTACTGTTTTTGTTTGTACGTCTTGTTAACCGAGTTCTCGGTCCGTAACTGTAATCAAGTTACGCACCGAGAAAAAACGAGGATCTGTAACTTACAGTACGGACCAAGAAGACGAGGTTAGTAAGATATTTATTATAATTATCTCTTCTGTGCACATGTCTGTCGATTTCTATTCAGGCGGAACGGCTTCAAATTTCTGACGCACGTCGAAAGCAAAAGGAGTCAATTTGAAATCGTTGTTAAGTCGTTAGCACATTTTAATGCATACTTACAATAAAAGTTAAGAACACTTGGCTATAAATTACGAAACATTTTGGCAACAAAAACAGCTTTACATTTTAGTGGGCCGTACAGTAGAATACGGCTCGCTAAATTGACCAATCACAGCTGGTGTAGTGCATTTTGTAACTGAGAGATAACTGAAGTATTGAAGAATCGATGGTCAAGTTCTTTTATGCAAGTTATGGACAGAGTTTCCGGCAGGGTCCACAAACTTTTGAAAAAGAAGGAGAGCAATATTTATTATGATAATTAATGATAGCCCTTCAAAACTGAGCTGGCTCCATTCTTGGTAAACACATGCTTAAAAGTTGAGTACCATATAAATTACTAGGTATGTTTACTCTTTTTGCGCACATACAAGCTTTTTGTGTTTTGTTCTAAATTGTAGCTGGAGAAATTTGTTCTTGAAGAGAGACTTGATTCCAATGAGTGTATCAGTCTGTTGACGTGGATCAGGGAGTACAAGTGAGTGGCAACTGACCAGTGCAACACAAACTGATGAAAGAAACTTTTATTAGATTGAATAGTATGGTTACTAGATTTGCCGCATCTCTTTCAATATGATTATGTATATCGATTGTGAGCAGTGTTCTCTTGATTTACATGAACCATTCATTTCAACTCAGTCACGGTATTTTGAGTTATTTTGTCCAGGTACAAACTTGCCTTTAAATTGAAGGAAAACTGAAAATAATTGTTTACTAAGATAGAAAAACATCAAAGAGGTAATAATAAACCGTAAAGGAACAAGAATGGTTGAGGATGGAGAAGATTAACACGGATTACAAACGACGAACTTGAGAAATTTAGGCTAAGCTTTTGAAGATGCAAAAACCACGACGAAGCTCCAGTTCTGAAAGTAGTCTGAAAGCAGTCGGATGATCTCTGCTGATGTCATTGAACTCACATTGTGTCTCATTAGCATACAACCCAAGCAGAAGCTGCTTCCCCATTAAACTGCCTTTGCTTTGTTTTGTCCATCAGGGGTACAGATCTTATGATGCATCCCGACCTTCAGATCGATGTGGGATTCCTGGGTCCTCTACTGTCAACCAAAGTTGAACAGGAGTTACTAGACACGTAATCATACCTTTTGATGTAGTTACTTCTTTAGCTTAATACATAGATCACCTGACTTAACTGGTGAGCTTAGCTGATAGGGTGCCAGTTTACAAACAAGGAGGTCAGAAGTTGCAACACTAGTCAAGTTATGATAATCATGTTTGGAGCTTTTTCATGTGATGTGGATGGTAGTTCTTAAGTAACTATATAAACAATAGCCTCCAGGTGGCGAGAAAATATGCTCGGATATTTGTCCGTGGACATTGTCTGCTCCCAGAAGCGAACAGTTTTCCGAGAGCGTAGCTCGAGGAAATTTGTGAGCTTCGAGGAACAGGTAATGTCCAAGGACAAATATCCGAGCATATTTTCGCCCCAAATGGAGGCCATTGCGTTTATTATTCTTCAAATCTTTTTCGCAACGCGCACAGTTTTGAAAATTGGGGAATATTCTCGGATATTCCCCAGTTTCAGCTGGGGAATATTCGGTCACGTGACGCGTTTAGACCAATCGCGCGCGAGCGAAAATATTTGATGGATTATAAGACACGATATACTACAGTGCAGCCAGTTTGACCCCCCTCTCCTAAAATAAATAATAACAACAACAGCAATAAAAACACACAAACAAACAGATTGAAACAAAATAAGTTGTAAATAGATTGCGTGGATTCTTCAATGGCATTCGTCTGTTTGCAAAAAGGTAACCATTGAGTGTTCTTTAAAATGCTACTTAATGTTTTGGGTAGTTTTGTCAATATTCTATGTTATTTGCTTTTGTGATGTACAGAATTAATCAAATAATAATCAAAGTAGTTTGTTGAGCCAGCCCAAGGTTGAAAAACGAATATGGTTTTGTGATACACCATTCCAAACTGGAGACCGGCTCTAATCACTGAGAAATCCTCTGGCATTGAGTTAGTGAGAAGTCTACATGTACTTTAACCAACTGACATAAGAGACATAAGGTGCATTTTTAAAGGAATAGAACTTAGTACAGTTTGGTTCTGATCCCTGTATGACGCCGTCCTCAAGGAATACTCCTTTGTTTTGTTGGCAGTTACCTAACAACCACTAAAAACAACATGATGGAGTGGATGAGTAAGATAGCAGAAACAGATTTAAAGGTGAGAGTACGTGCAAACCCTTACGCGATCTTCTCTTAGCATCACGGCCAAGACGGCGGTTAGTAAAGAGCCCAGTAGGCCATCCACAGGTGGTAGAGTTGTCCTAGAAAAGTCCTCAAATAGTCCATGGATGAAACGGAACTGATGTCTTTTTGAACTGTGGTTTAACTTTTGGTTTCAAAGTAGAGGATTTCACAAAATGCATCCGGCGACAACAGTTTTAGCAGAAACTCGCCATTTCTGTCATGCGGTTTATTTGCTATTAACAATTACATTTATTTGGAAACTCGAAATTTCTATCGCAAGAAGTCGACAAAGGTGTAGCTCTAGTCAACTATCACGCATAGGAATCGAGAGCGCAATAATCTAATTGTTCTTAACTAGTATGAATCTACAAGTCATTTAAAACTTAAAACAACAATTCTCCCCATGGCTGCTTCGAAAAGAAAACGAAGTGGCCGCCATTTTGTTAACAATCGCACACTGCTAGGTTACTCACTACGTGGAACAGAATAGATAGCTAGTAGCCAATCAGAGAACGGCATTTGTGTTAGAACGACAGTAGATTTATGCCTACTGGAGATAGACTCTGCCCTGATGAAGTGACGGCTTGGCAGCTGATTTGCTAATTCTGTATTGTTTGTGTTTCCTTTACTCAAGCACCTGCTTCGTTTTATTCATTCCATCTCTCATACTCACTATACAGTGTCAAAGTGTCCCTCTAACTATCGATAATTATGTAGTTTGTAACCCATTGCGTTGTTTTTGTTATTTTATTTTTCTCAGGACTGGAACAGCGAAGCTCCGCCGGAAACAGACCTGGAAGGCTTCTACAATACCTCACTTCCTGTCTTCCTCTTTAAAATGACCGATCAGAATGTAAGATATGATGTTCCGTACGTTTCTCTTGACAAACAAAGATATGCTGTGTTAAAAGCTTAATCTTGAAATGATATTCTGCCTATGAGATGGTTGCAGATATACCAGATTGCGCAGTAAGATTGCATTTAGCGAGAACCATGTAATACATTGTACATTCATCTAAAGCTCACATGATAGTGCGTGTCTTGAAATGCAAGCTTGCCTGAACTATCATTTTTGATACAACCAGCTTGTCTTCGTAGTCTTGAGTCATTAGTAGATCAAACACACGTGTAGAATCATTGAAAACGAGTAAATTATAGATGTTAATGCCTCCTCGCTTGTTTGAACGTTTTCTGTTTTCTTCATCGATGTCAAATGACTTTGTTGTTTTCATTTCTCTCAGCTTCAAGTTGCTGCCAAGGCTGGAGAAGAAATCAAACTACAGGTAAGCTTTAAAGCTTAGCTTGAAGCTCAAGTACATCTTGCTTCTGCCTACCTTTGTCGTAAATCTGATATAGAGAAGTCTTCAATGATTTTACTTACTTTGTGACTGAAGCACAATTTATTCGTTTCTCAAGGCCGTCATTCTTAACGTAATTCATCCTAAACTACCCTCATTCAATTATTCCACCCAAGTACACGAGTAGTGCGAGCTTTCGAAATTTTAAAAGGAAGTTTTCAACGTCGCTAAAAAAATGATACAAAATATCTTGTAACCTGTTACCTGCTGTTATGTTGTTTGCAAGTAGACTTCGACATGAATGATATGATCCTTTACTTTTAATGCTATTTCCACACACATAAATGTTAGCATTAATTTTAAGTTGTGTTTAGAAGTAGCCGAAGGGCAAACGCACTGTATAGGTAATCAAACTCACAGTATTGTGCGCTTTTCTCCGTCTCACGATAATCTCACCGTTTGTGTTTGCCTGCTAAACAGATTCTGGATATTTGCCTTGAATCCATGCAGGGATTCCAAAGAGAGTATAGAAGTAAGTTTATGAGCAGTAACAACGGACAAATTTGTCGCAAAATTTATGCTGTGGTGCTATTGCGCTATTCCAAAATTAGCGTCTTTCCTCTGCATTTTTGTTGTTGTTGTTGTTGTTTTTTTTGGGGGGGGGCGGGCTGGTAACTTTAGAGCACATCCTATATCCTCCATTGAGCGTGAAATAATTTAACTGAGTGACATCGATTGCGTGACTATAGGTGTAGTGCACATTGCGTGACTATAGGTGTAGTGCATTCCCTGCATGTAGTGCGTGCGTTACTATTGCGTGTCATGCTGTAATCATTGTGTGCATTCTGTAGGTCAAGNTTTTTTTCTGTTTTCCTTGCCAGACGAATAGCGTTCAAGGATTACGAGGGAAGAAGAGATGCCGCCAAGAAGATCACGGAGGAATCCAAAAAGATCGAGAAACTCTTTAAAAAATTAGCAAAAGCGAGCTTAGAACCTGAAACTCAATGTTCAGTGTTGCCCACACTTGCAGAGGTCATCAAACTCCGTGACACATCCATGATGGCGCTTGAAGTCTCTGTAAGTAGCGAAACTTGTCACAGATTAGCTTCCTTGGCAGACGCTTTTTGGGCTCATCCCGCAATCTTTCTCCCGTATGAACGTAGTTCATGGCCAGGGAGATTGTGTTACGGGCCCAAAGAGCGTTTGCGTGGGAGGTTAGTCACAGATGAGCTTCTGCGAAATGAGAAATGAACTAACCGTGACCAAAAAAATGTTCCCTTTCCGCCTTTTGTTTTGCATGTTGAGCGCCCTTGAATGTTATGTATGTTTTTGTTTCCGGTTTTGTTTGCTTTTTCGTTTTAATTCATTTCAGCTTTCAAAACTTCACTTGCCTTCGCGTGAGCTTGTTTAGAAGACGTGACAGTTTATTTTAGAAATAGTGAGGTGGCGTATTTTCTTAGTAACACTCGTACACGACGGTACATTATTTTAAAGTGTATGTATGACCGTGCCTATGATTGTGCCTGTCTGAAAAGTTTGAAGGAGGCTTCGTGTAAGTAATGCCCGAATTGTCACTTATATCCTCAGGGAATTGCTAACAAGTACCCAGACTTCAAATCGGATCACGCTCTGGCTTTGCTGTTGATGCGGGGAGATATGACAAGGGCGGAAGCCAGACAGGTAATTATCTTTACCTTTACTTAAAGAATTCAGTGATGCAAGGGACCGCAAACGAAAATGCTGCTGGTAGACGTAGGATCTGTGAAAGATCTAATCAGCCAAAAATAGAAACATAACAATGAAGCAAGGCTGATTACTACGGAGAAAGGTTAACGGGACAACGACATGATAGAGTCCAAATTGAAGGCCAAAAATTGCAACCGTGGTACAGCTTTTTCGACCTGGTTGGGTTTCGTCGGCACAGTGTAGCAGCAAAAAATAGAACAACAGGCTTGTGACGTGTACTGATTGCCTATCAAATGCACGTGGTAATGACCTCAGATGAAACTCAAATCTAAATGTTTGCGGATTGGTCAATGTCACATGCAAAACGTGTGACCCCGAACAAAAAGCAAAATCCAAAATATAATGTCGTTGTCGTGATAAGGAGACTGCAGACAGACAAAAACTGTCCCGCAGAAAATACATGGCTAAACCATGTTAAACATGAACACCATATTACCGAATACCACCGTTATTTCCTTGAGTCTTTTGTTCTCATTCTCACTTCTTGCAATGCTGGGAAGGGCAGTCGTGGTGGTGGGAGTATTGAGCCCACTGAGTTCATCATTGTTACTGCTATGGTTTCCTTTCTTCTACATTATAAATCATTATGAATTATTTCCAAATTAATGATAGTAATTTAATTAATGGATTAGCATAATTTTTTGTAACATATCATTAGTGAATAATCATTAATAAATAAGTTATAATTATTAATCTGTTCATAACAATTAATAGATAATTACATCAAAACGACGTGTATTGTTTACCCACAATTATGCTTATTATGTACGTTACTGTCAGTATTTCCTCATTTTGTTTTCCTGTTAGTTAATCATGGAGACTCCCCTGGAAGGAAGACAAGATCCCCCGGCTGATGAGCCCAGTGCATTTTTCAGTCAGATTATTGTGCCACCATCTCTGCTGGACAAACTGGAGACAGTGATGAAGAAGAAATAATTAAAATTAACTGCAGGAATGTCTTTGTTAGTCCTCAGTTAATTTCCAAAACAACTTCAAGTTGAATAGTCCACTTTTATGGTTTCGTCATTGAAGTATATTTAGCCTTGTGCCTAAATCTCTTTTCTGTCTGTCTGTCATGTACAGGAAAAACCCACTTTGTTTTAGTTTTAGGTAGTTGTAGTAGTTTAGCTTAGCTTTGTGTCTAAATCTCTCTTGTCTGTCTGT